ACTTCGAAATTTGATTACTTTTTCTATTCGAATAATAATTTAATGCTTCATTTCGGTTGTCATGACTAGATCTTTTTAACTGCTAAACTTTTTGAGCAATGCCTTACTACTTTTAACACCGTGGCAACATTGTTCTTCATTGAAGAGAAGAGCAAAGAATTTCCAGAAAGCTATTAACAAAGCAGTCTGCCATTTGTTTTTGTGAGGTTGCTCTATAAACTCTTCTCTTTATCCGTTCCGTCGGTTGCATTATTCAAACCAGCCGTTCTAAAATAATGTTATAATCTCAGTAATTAAAGACTATTCTAAGAACGAGATCTTTTATTAAATCAGACGTGATTACCCCGCCATCAAGGGTTCTATTTTCATCTTCAACTAGGTACCTGTTACTGGCAGGGTTTCCCTTTGCAAGAAGTGTAAGCCATTTGCACCAGGTAGTTCTTAGCACAGTAGTCTGCACTAAGTAAAACTAAGCAAGCATACAACGCAGTTGTCGTATAACAATTAAAGTCACTGTTAGCGAACTGCTCTATCAAACAAAGTTGTTTGATTTTCAGCATAATGTTTTCATATGCGTATTTCAGAAATCCAAAATTTTCGCAGTTCGACATTAATTTTGCATAGTAATGTTGTAGGATAGTAACAAACAAATGAAAATTGATAAGATTTTTTTTGCAAGCAATTAAAGGTAGCACAGAAAATGGAAAAGTTTATTTAAGAAATTCACATATATACAACATTATCGTAAATAATAAAAGAGAAAGTTAAAAAGCGAAAAAAGTAAATTTTTAGATGCCAGAGAAAAATGAGATAACAACTGAAATAATTTTCTGTACAAAAACACCCAATAATCCTACTCAGTGCACAATCTGCAGAGAAACAACAGAGCTGAAAGAAGCGAAAAAGAAGTGAGCAAAAAATGAAAAAAATGGAAGAAAATGTAAAGAAAATATATGTAAAGAAATATATGTAAAGAAAATCACAACTATTCAGCATCTTTTCAATAATAAACTACAGTAAACGGTAAGTCTCGACAGTTGCTCATAGAGAACCGGCAGTTCAAGTCCCAAACCCAAAATAACTCTGATTTTTAAAAACACAGAAATGTAACCCGAGAAGTGGCAAACAGATCAAAGCCTTTGCACTTTGACGACCCCGTACATATTCTTTGGGAAAGGGCCTCCTTCGCCGCCCCTCTCCATCGCAAGCTGCGACTAGAGCGGCGCCGCTGTTGTCGCAGCTTGAAGCAGCCGAGGAGACATGTTGATCATGTCAACGTCAGCTTCGGAACTGCAAAGTTCCGTTTTTCTGAAAAAAGGTGGTGGTCTGCAGTTGAAGATCTATAAACAATAGTGAGACATTACAGACGGATTTGACATTTCTTGCGAAGGTCAGGTCAGAGCGGTTGGTGAGGAGTATGCAACAGCAGTATAATACGGTCGAGACGATGACGTCACGGCAGTCGTGAAAAAAGTGGTTTATTTATCCAAGTTTAAGGTAAGGTGGATGGCACTGGTAGCAATGAGAAACTATCGACCGGTTTGCCCTCTTACAGCAACCTGAGGGTAGACAGGCTGACGAACTGCGACTCGATTAGCGCCCCTCAAATAAAGGGCTTTTCAAAAAATGGATGATCGGTTGCTGATTGATCAGGAGCCGATAAAAGG